AATTTTATTTGAGAATATTTATTTTAATAATTTTCTTACCTCTTCTTTTTTTTGATATTTCAGGCTCGATCGATTTGTGAAAATTTAACTGCCCAAATCGATGAGACAGCTGAAAGACGGTTCCAGCGACGAGCCTTCTGCTAAACGATGAAAAGTGAAAGGCAAGAAGCCAGTCTGTTATACCGATGATAAGATGAATTACGAATTGACAAAAATCATCTCTAAGGACAACGTCAATTTGTCAGTAGAAGAGTCAAACGCAAAAGGAGCCAGGGTATATTTGAATTTTGTTGATTGTTTTGATATTCTAAATTACAAACTGATTTTTTTTTCTGATTTTCATATTTAGACTGAAATGAAGCGATTTTAAAACCATCAATTTGAAATGGATTTAGACTGATGAAACTTTTAATAGCAAAAAAATATTAAAAAGCGATTGAGTCTAATTCCAGAATTACGAAAGGTCTTGGCTCTGAATTTTCGACATTCTATTGACCAATTGACAATCTGGCTTCAAAGTCTCCATAAATCTTAACGATCAATTCGACGATACAAGTGAAGTGGAAAGGCTGTTATAGAACAACGATGATTAAATGCAAATAGTCCAATACACAAAGTTAGTGAATTCTGATTTTTGATCTATTAAGTTTATTTATTTTTAATTTATTATTTCTAGAAAAAATTACGACGAGTAAAAATCGCTAAACGATTATTTGCGAATAATGATGTATGAATTACGAGATATGAAAAATGATCTTTATTGAAAATGCTATCCGATCGCTTATGCCATTTCTGAAATAAGTGAGACAGACAAAAATGACTCAGAATGAAAGTCTGTCATCACTGTATATGATTTCTCATAGTGATCGATTGAGGTTTACTATTTTTTTTTAAAAAATTCTTATTTATAAATTTTAGTAAATTACTAAATATTTTTTTATTATTTTAGCTAAAAAATCTCCTTTGTAGTGTACTCGATCAAAATGCTGTAATCTCAGTCACTTCAGCAAGAGCACAATGAAATCGAATATGCGATGACCAGATGCAGCATTTCGACCAGCCACATCTTTGAACACCTCCGAATGGTCTTGAACTGAACAAATAAACATATTCTTAAACATAGACATCGAAAAATCAGGTGAAGAAGAATATGTTACAGATAATGAAGAACTTGTCAAAGTCGAAAGGAGGCAAACATTGGCAGCTGGTACAATAAATAATATAATTCTGACTATCTCGAGACTGATGATTAATAGCGACAACCATCTCGAGATGATAGATTCGTTCGATAATAACACGATGATTTTTAATATTTTTTTTTCTTTTGCTTATTTTTTTTTTATTTTATAAATGGAAAGGCGAGTGGAATATTTTAAGTTTTTTTTTTTTGCTTTTTTTGCATTTTGTTTTATTTTTTTTATAAATGATATTTAAGTTTTTTTTTTGCTTTTTTTTCGTATTTTGTTCTTTTTTTTCATACTTTGTTTTATTTTTTTTATAAATTGAAGGATGGGATGAACAATTTAATTTATTTTTTGCTTATTTACTAGTTTTTAGTTTTAAATCAGAAGCGATTAAATAATGACAATAATGACAACGATTTATCAATTATAATGACAATTTCTTCTTTTTTTTTTAGTAATTTACTTATTTTTTAGTAGTATTTTCTATTTGCTTGTCGCATAATGAATAAAATTAATAAAATTAATAAAAAAATATACTTTTCCAAAATTGTAAAATGAAATAAATGTAATAAATTTTCAGTTAAAAATCAGCAGATGATTGATAGATGATTGATGGCTTGTTTTAGGCAGATTTTAGATAGATGATTGATGGCGATTGATAACCGATTGATATTTCCGATTGACTCATATTATGTCAATCAGAATTAATGTAAATCAACCCTAAATAAGCTATCAATCATACATCAATCGTCTGTTCGATTTTTAGCAGATTTGTATCCATTTCGACCAGTGTAATTCAAAGATAATAACATTAAACAAAGAAGATAGAAAACGAATAGATCTAATTTCTTTCATTCAACAATTACTTGATAAAGAAGTTTTAGCAGCAAATCATTTATTATGACTATGCGTTATTCTAAAGGTCCAAATAAAGGAAAACTTATTTCTCCCTATCTTCAAAATAAAGCTTGTGAATATGTATCACAAAATCTTTATAAATATCAAATTTCAGTCACTTCATTGCAAGAAACAAATAATGAAATAGCAACCAAAATTAAACAACTTCAACAACAAAATAATCATCTTATTCATCGCACACAATCACTTGGTGTTCATACTAGACATCTTTGGAATCAGAAATCAAAGCATATATTTGAAATTCAATCTTTGGTTAGACAATCACAAAATATTTCTGATACTGCTTTTAAAAATAAAATCAAATCTATTTTCAAGATAAATGAATGTGAATATACTTTAAGAACTGTTTGACTTTCTACAACTATTTCTTAAATAGAACAAATTTCAATGTGTTTTACAGTTGAATATACGAGAATTTTTTATGAATTTTTGATTGGAGAACCTTCTCAAAATTGGTTATCAACTTCTACACTCAATATGTGGCATCAGGAAGTTTCTCAACTTCATATTGCAACTCAAATTTCTCAAATTGCATGTGCTTCAGCTTTTGGAGTTATGGTTAATGAATCCACTCGTAGAGAGATAATAAACTTATTTTTTGTTATCAAACTTGGAATGAACAAAAGCAAGCTCCTGTTATAATAACAACAAATCTTCTAAATATTTTAAAATATAATAGTGAAAATGTATTAAATGCTGTTATTGAATCTATTAAAAAAGAAGAACTTGATATTATGAAATGTATATTGTGGACTATTGATAATACAGCTTATATGTCATCAAATAAAAAAGGTACAATTGCTCTTTTTAATTAAAAAACTGACACAAATTCATTTCACATTAGATGTGGACTTCATATTATGCAAATTGTAATCAACCATTTTAAACAAGAAGCATTTGGAATTCTAAGTGGTTCTGGATTTTCCCAAAATCCATATCTTACAATCTTCTTTATTTAGAATGGAACTTACATGATGAATATAACTCAAGTGATAAAGACAAACTAAACATTAATGCAGAAATAATCAGAAATATATATGATAAATTAATGGGATTTCACTACAATAAGTACCAATTGCCACTTCGTTCTCGTTGGAGTTATGAATTATGGACTGTCAAACAATATCTTGATCATTATGAATCTTATATATGCTTTGGACAATAGTTTATTAACCAATTAAATAATTATCACAAAACTCCAAAAGTATATCTTAAAGATTGATGCCTTTTTGAATTATGGTTATTAAATCTGTTACTTAATATTCAAATAAAATGCTTGGTAAACTTTGCGAAGCATTTTTATAAACTGTTAATACAATTTATTGTTGATCAAGATTCTACTTCATGAGTAATACAAAATGATTAATTAGTTCAATTACCTCCTGATAGACAGGCATATGAAATATCAGAAAAAATTTATAAATGAAAAGATTTTCTTAAAAATCTTAAAGATAATTTTGAAATATTTTTTGCAGATGTGTTGTTAAAAGCTATTGATACATTATCAAATGATGAATTTGAAAAGTTTATTTAATAGTTTAGAGAATGGAATAAACAAAACATGCATATTTTGAAAAGTGGATGAATTCATGGCTACATTTACCTTTGGTAATTTATCGACTATGTGGAGATCTTGCTCAATCATTTACCAACAGTTTCCGTTATATAATTCTTAAAAAAACTTGGATTAAAACACCAACAGAATTGGAATTAAATTTGTAAGAGATTTGAAAAATGATATTGATTGTGAAAATAATGATTTTTTTGGGTTACAAAAAATTTTATTAGTTAATAAAGAATTTAATGATGAATTTGAAGAATTTTGTATGGCAGAAAATCCTTTATTATATAAATTTCCCACCTCTATAATTTCGTTAAAACACACCTATTTTATTATTATTCATCAGCAACAGGTTAAGGGACTTTTAACAATTTAGATTTGAAAACTCATGCAAATATGAGTTTATCTCTCAAGCAATCAAAACTTCGATTACCTTCAAGCAAGATTGAAAAAGAGAATTTGACAGAAGGCTTTAAAAAAATAAGAACTCAAAGAAAAGAAAAAAAATATTCTATTACAAGATATTCAGCCGTCACAATTTGGAGCAGAGATTGCGTCAAATTTTTTCAATTATTTATTAAATATGTAAAAAAGCTATACCAATATTAGTTAAGATAAAATCATTATAATGTTAATAGCAGTTTTTTTGATGTTTATAGGTTATAAATGGAGTTTAAAAGTAAGCAGAAGGTATCGTGTTTTATTGTTTTACTAATTTAATATTTAATATAATAATCTGAATTTTAACTTTAATTCAACATAGATATCGTATTGCTTGCAACGTCAGTGCTCTATACGATTAGGTATGATAATTAATTATATCTTTTGGAGTTTATTATAATAAAATGTAAAAGGAAATAATAGATAACAATGTATTCATTTTTTAGGGATTTTATCAGACTTTTTTAAGGATTGGATGAACTGTTTATTATTGCAGGTATTTATTTCTTTGTTTTTTGTGTTAAAAAACTGTGTTTCTTTTATTAAAAGAAATTCCACCATTTATATACATAAATTTCTAACAGGACAATTATGGCTAGTGAACAATTATGACTAGTGAGTATTAATGGCCAGTAAATAATAATGACCAGCGAACATTAATAACCAGTGATCTTCATTGCGCTAACTTAAATTTTGTTAGCCGAATTTCTTATAATAATAATAATACTAATAAAACATTAAGCAATACTAATGAAATAAAACATATATAGAAGTGAAATGCTAATAATAAATGCTAATAAACTGAAAATAAAATAAAGAAGAAAATAATAATAGACACATTAATAAATGTTAATATAATACTTATTAATAAAACCAATATATCTTACGATACAAGAAGTAATTAATACATATAATTATTAATGTAACAATAACATAAATTTCGAAAAAAATGCTAGATTGAAACATTATTATAAATCTAAACTATATCAGAATACAAAAAAAACTTCAATAATAAATTTTACTATATATAGTTTTGTTACACTATATTGACTGACTACCCCATTACCTCCTCTTTATTTTCTTCATTTCATTATTTTACTTTTTTTTAAAAATCTAATTATGTGTATTAATAATTATTTTCGTTTAATATTTATGCATCTGACTGATTTAAATAATTTAAATGTTGAATTCTCAAATTTTTCTACTAAGAATTCCAAAATTGAAACATAAGACAAAATCTTATATATTTTATATTGTTTTTAATCTGATCCTAATGACACATTTATATATTTTTATATTCTTAGCATACGTTATTGTAAGATTTAAACTCCTCAATTTGGAACACCACTTCCTATGTTATATTTGTTCTTGATTTTCTGAACGTTTCTTTTTTATTTGCTTTTTTTAACATAGACTTCATTATTGTTGGAATTTGCTGATCAAAATTTTTCCTGTTAGATTAATATGAAAACGTTGCTTGAATTGTGAATTTCTTGAAAAGTATTTAATCATATTACTAATTCAGAGTTATAAAGGTTCAGAGAAATCATTGTTTCCTTAAAATAAAGCCATAAAAGTCATAATTGATAAAAGTCCAAAAAAATTGATTAATCTACTTATCAATTCATTCAATCTATTATTTGCAAGAATGCTTTCAAAAAATGCAACTTATTTATTTTTCTTTAGCTTTATCTGATTACTAATAACTTACAAACTTTTAGTAATGACAATCAAACAATAAGCGCGAGATGGAATACGATCCTATTTGGTAAAGTTTCATTTAAGAAACATTTAGAACTTTAAATGTTTATGTAATACCCACTATTAAATCAAAAAAAATTGCCATTGCAGTTTGCGCTCTTAGAAAATTATAAAGCTGCTACAATACTTCTTAAATAAATTCATTATAAAAAAGATTCAAAAATATTCGTCGTCTGCAAATAATCATTTTAAAAGTAATAAATAAAAATAAAAAAATATCAAAATAAAATTTATAAAATAGTCACCGCAGCATATTATACTTTTCTTTTATTAATGATTGAAAAATAGAATAATTCCTCTCGCAATAACTATGAACATATATATACAATTATTTAGATGAGAAATAGATTAATTATTATTATTTTTTTAAAACTTCGTCACTACTTTGTCATTCTCTATTTAAAAGCCATTTTCATTCTTATATAGCTTCGATTATTATTCTTTAATGACTTTATTAATTCTAGATATTTGAAGATATTATAAACCAAATTCTCTCACATTACAAAAAAATCTTGTATAATTTTGGGAAAAATAAAGTTTTACAAACTCCAATTGTCATTTAAATTGTCTTATACAATTTTTTATCTATAAAGAAGTTATAATTTTAGTCCATTGTAAATTAAAATTGATTATTAATGACCTTTTATGAAATAATTATCAAATCATTTTTTTTATAAATAAAATTATTGTCATTACCTTTGTAATTTAAAGCGATTTTAGTTTTTTAAAATTTCCCATGAATTCTAATAAAACTATTTCGCATACGTTATTGATATATTTCAATGTCAGAATATCTGCTTAAAAGGTTTAAAAAGGTAATAAAAAAAAGGTACATTTCTAATTTTATCACGCCTTGATCTATTAGTAATTTTTTATCACTTATCTTCAGATATTATTTATATTCATTCTTTAGTTGTCAAGTGAGAAATATGTCTATTTTTTTAGAAATATAGAACTTTCATAGGATATATTAGGGTTATGTCAACTAATTTGTTCATAAAATTGATTTTAAATACTAGAATTAAAAATGTTCCACTTTATAGCACAAATATAAATTGAAATTGATGAAAAAAGCAAAAATTTAATGCTTTTTTAAAATGACAGTAACGATATTAATGAGTTAGTAATTCTCTAATAAAAAGTAGAATTAGAAAACTTGTTGAGAATAATGTGAAGAAAGGATGTAGTCAGAAGGTAATCATCAATTAATTTTATGATTTTGATTTATAGACTTGTTAAGAAGACACTACAGCTAAAAAGGAATTAATTTATCTTTTATCAATTGTGGAATGCAGTTTTAAAGGTAATCATATTTTATTTAATAACTTTTGAAACTTGAATACAACTTTGTTTTAATAATAAATTTCAAAGTTCTTATAGACTAATGTAGTGCTTCATACTGATCAAATCAATCTGAGTCATTTGACCTGACTCAAAAAAAATTCGAGTCAGACTATCATTTTATGTCACGAGTTCCTAATTTCTTAAAACTCATGTTGACCCAGGTGATTCGAATGATCAGGTGATAAGAATAAATAATATAAAATTAAATGATATAAATATTATACATTACACGAGATACTAATTCTAATAATACAGCAATGAAAAGCATTGCGAAATGATCTTATTGCCAAAGAATTTTTCGAATTCCACCTGAATATAAAAATTCAAAACCCATCAAGTAATTAAATATCTTAACCGCACGTATGTATTTTCAATAGTGTAGTATGATGTAAATTACATGCTATTATTTAGAACATCATCAATAAAATAAAAATAAAATATTTTAATAAAGCAACGATTGTTTCTGTGCATGAGTTTAGAATGATAATAAAGCAAATACAAATCGCATCTGTATGTGTTTGAATTCCTGGTGGCAATAATATACTAAATTCGAATTATTGTACAACCAAAGATACACTTTTCATTATCTGTATTAATAAAAATTATTTTACTTAAAATTCTGAGTTTAAAAATAATCAGGTTTGGTTAAACAATAATTGGGTCGAGTCGAATTCAGGTCCTATAAAGATTAATGGGTTCAAGTTCGAATATGCTTTACAGAGCACTACAATGATTAGTGTTGTAATGTTTAGCAAAATGTTTAAATAGCAAAGGTAAACTTGCGTAAAATATATTAAAATTCTGTAAAATTAGAAAAAGGTTGTTAGTTACAAGATTGACATGTTAAAAATT